CAGGAAGCCGGCTTGGAGCCCGCCACACGCTCCAGGTGCTGTTTAGCTCGGTGGTTTGCCTCCAGGGGATGTTGGCACCTTTCTCCTTGCCTGGGATTAAGCACAAACACCGAATTCCTGCGCTGCGCCAGCCCGTCGCTTGCTTGAACCGATGACCCAGCCGGCTCGTTATGTAATTGAATTAAGTAGAACATCTGCTGACTCCCGCGGAGCTGGGGCGCACTTGAACAGAGCCGGGAAACGGCCGTCGGTGGTTTGCCTCCAGGGGATGTTGGCACCTTTCTCCTTGCCTGGGATTAAGCACAAACACCGAATTCCTGCGCTGCGCCAGCCCGTCGCTTGCTTGAACCGATGACCCAGCCGGCTCGTTATGTAATTGAATTAAGTAGAACATCTGCTGACTCCCGCGGAGCTGGGGCGCACTTGAACAGAGCCGGGAAACGGCCGTGCGGAATGACAACTGTCCGCAGCGCACGGAGCAGGCCTGGACCCCCCTGCCCAGACTGCTGTTGATTTGCACCTCAGCCGCCAGGAATAACAGTGCTGGGGCCAAATCGTCAAACCCAGGAGCCAGCCTTGGGCAAGCGAAACCTAGAAGTTGTCTAAGCAGGGGGCACTGGCGGGGGGCCGGCTGGGCGTTATCCAGGCACAGTGATGCCTGCTCCATTGGCACCCACAGACCCCACTGTGGGTGCAAAACGTATGCAAATGTATGCAGATAACCTGAGAGGCTGGGGTGCCAGCCAGGTTAATGTGCCAGCGAGGTTCTTGCGGCCTCTGATGTCCCAGAGAAGGGCCGGTGCAGCTGTCACGCCATTGGCAAGTGTCTGCCTGGGAGCGTGTTCTTAGCAATTCTGCCCAGCACTGGCAGCAGGGCTAAGCCCTGCTGACTCGAGGGTCCTGCCAGCAGCAGGAGAACAGCTGCCTTGCCAGCTGGCCTGCCACCCGACAGCCCTGGCCTTTCCCGGACACGTCGCAATGACCCGCCTTGCCACCGTCTGGCCACAGGGCAAAGCTCCCTCCTGCGCCTTGGCCTTCCCCGGAGCAACGGAGAATCCGGCTCCCTGGCGGCGGGGGGAGCACAGATTTCGAACCGTGGGCGCGTCGCTGCCAAAGCAAAGGTGAGCCCCTCCCCCCGGTTCTTCCCCCGAACTCCTCGGTAGACAAGCCCCTTTCCGTGCGCTGACTTGGCAGCCAGACCCTCTGGCCCATCCAGACACTGGCCTCCCCGCCGGGGGAGCGCAGCAGGGGCCACGCTGGACTGAGCCCTGCGCCCTGCCCAGCGGGCTCCAATCACACAGCGCGCGGGCAGCTGGGAAGGGCCACCCTGGCTCAGGGGTGTGACGTAGTGGGGGGTACCTTGCTGGTTGCTGTGCTGGCCAGTGGGCTGTGGGTGACCCCCGCTGGCTGCTGGCTGCAGCACGGCCCAGCAGGGCGGGGATGAGTCATTATGCAAAGGGGGCTTCCAACCTGTCTGACCAGCTACCCCCCAGGGAGCAGAACAATGGGAAGAAGGGGAGTGGAGCCCTGGCTGGGGGCAGGGCTGGAAGTGAGTGGGTTAGTTTCTGTCTGGGAGCATGGAGGAAGCAGCCGAGGCAACGGGCTGGGATTTAGGGGCCCAGTCTCCCCATCTCAAGGGGGGCTGAGGCATCCTAGGCCTGCCCTGGAACCAGATGACATCTGTGCTGGAGAAGCAATAAACTCCCTCTGTTCTACTGGCTGGGGGAGCCTGTCCATGCCACTACGGGGGTGCAGGAGTCGGGAAAACCCCAACGCGCTGTCACAGGGGGTCACTCACGCAGGTCCACTGGGTATAAAAGAGCCAGGCCGGCTGCCAGGAGCCACGGGTCTGACCCGGGGAGCTGTTTGCTCTGCCCCGAGTCCCCGGCTTTACTCCCCGGTGCCTTCCCGCAGCCGGAGTCTTACCTGCGTGGGGTAGGAGCGTGACGTTCAGGAGATCCTTCTTGCCGCACTCGTCGCAGCCGTTGTTCATGCCCTCGGACACCTTGATCTTGAGGCTCAGGCCTTGCTCCTCCTCCGTCAGGGAGCTCTTCTGGAGTTCTGCCTTGGCAAACACTTCCCTCTCTTGGTCGGATCCTGGGGGCGTGAACAGGGGCTGTGGGACCCGCGAGGCCGACAGGGGCCCCCACTGTCTTGTGTGGGACCTCGGCAGCTTGGCCAATGGGAAGCTTTGTCCATTAGGAGCTTCTGGCCCAACCCTGAGCCCCCAGCCCCATTTTCTCCCCCAGCACGTGGCTTTTCTCTCCCTGGCAGTGGCCCGACCGTGCCAGCCTGCTCCATGGATTGGCCCTTCCTTCCCGCTGCTACTTCCCAGGGCCCAGCAAGGTCCCATCCGGCCCTGGAATTCTCCGGCCCTAGGAGCTCAGCGGGAACATGCACAGTGCTGGCCCCGAAGGTGGGGGCCCGTCCTGGGACACCCCTCCAACGCGCCCGCCTACCCTCGGGATACTTGTAGTTGTGGGTGATGTCTTCCCTGGTGTCTGTGCCCACGCTCTTGGTGCTTATTTTCTTGCCAATGAGGGAGGAGTGGATGGTTTTCTTCTGGGAGCCGTCCTTCTTCAGCAGCCAATAAACCACGTCCGCGTTGACCTCCGCAAAGACAAAACGGCTGTCGTACTTCATGGCCAGCTCCCCCTCCTTGATGGCTGTGACGGGCGCTGGCCCGCAGCAGTACGCCCCTGGGGAGAAAGAATAGAGTTCCTGGGAGAGATGGGGGGCCACCAAGACTCTGCACCCCACCCCACTTCTACACACTCATAGAATCACTGAGCTAGAAGAGACCTCAGGAGGTCATCAAGTCCAACCCTCTGCCCAAGGCAGGACCAATCCCAACTAAGTCAACCTAGCCAGGGCTTTGTCAAGCTGAGATTTAAACACCTCTAGGGATGGAGATTCCACTCCTCCCTAGGGAACCCATCCCAGTGCTTCACCACCCGCCTAGTGAAATAGTTTTTCCTAATATCCAACCTAGACCTCCCCCACTTTAACTTGAGCCCATTGCTCCTTGTTCTGCCATCTGCCCCCACTGAGAACAGCCTTTCTCAGTCCTCTTTGGAACCTCCCTCCAGGAAGTTGAAGGCTGCTCTCAAATCCCCCCTCACTCTTCGCTTCTGCAGCCTAAGCAAACCCAAATCCCTCCGTCTCTCCTCATAGCTCAGGCGCTCCAGCCCCCAAATCATTTTGGTTGCCCTCCGCTGGACCCTCTCCAATGCGCCAACATCCTTTTTGTAGTGGGGAGCCCAGAACTGGACACAATACTCCAGATGTGGCCTCACTAATGCCGAATAAAGGGGAATAATGACATCTCTGGATCTGCTGGCAATGCTCCTCTTAATGCAACCTAATATGCCATTAATCTCCAGCTTCTCCTCCATTGCAATCCCCAGGTCCTTTTCTGCAGAACTGCTGCTTAGCCAGTTGGTCCCCAGCCTGTACCAATGCTTGGGATTCTTCCGTCCCAAGGGCAGGACTCTGCACTTGTCCTTGTTGAACCTCATCAGATTTCTTTAGGCACGTTCCTCTAATCTGGACTCTCCCTGCCCTCCAGCGTCTCTCCCTCCCCGTGTCTGTCTCGGGCAGGGTGGGCATGTGATGTGCACCATCTGGACTGGGCTGAAGGGAGAGCTCAGTAATGCGCCCCTGGGACAGGGCAGCCTGCCCTTTGGAAGCCAGCCTGGCTGGGA